TCCTCCCCATGACAAGTCATGCAAGCAAAGTTGTGCCAATTCAATATGGCGCAATTATGCAAGTTAATACATACGTTATCTCATCAACAGAGGCATCTAAGTTCTCATAACCGAAAACCTACTTCTTTAGGTCATGTCCTAATATGTAAATCCCTCTGTATTAGTTTATGTGTCTTACTTTCCTTTCTAGTGTGGTTCAAGAAGAATGTCCAAACACGGGGGCTTGAACCCCATTTCATGTTTTCACCAAAACTCTGATAATGTTTGTTTAAGCACACGGGTAAAAACTAGAAGACACATAGGTCTGTGATGTCCATAAATTAGAAAGCCAAAATCAGACAAATAACTTGTATGACAACAAAAATAATACACTGCAGCAACGATAAGCAGATTAGTGCATAGAATGGGTGAACATTGCAGTTGTTTCAAGTTTCACAATAAGAAGCATTAATATGCATTTCTACTGTGTTGAAAATGCCAATTCTACCAAGGCTAGTGTTACCAAAGTTACAGAGCCAAAATCCCAAGCTATCTAGTACGCTGAAGCTGCTCAAACCAGCAAGCATTATACCGGTATCTAACAGGAAGTCAGGTCAGGCGTAAGCAATTAATGGGGTGGCAATTATAGAAGGCGGTGAAATCCAGTGGGATCAAGTAATCCACCGTTTAACACTTTCACCAGTTCAAGTGTAGGTCCTTAATAAAGGGACACACTCCTTGTCCTCTAAAATGGCCTTACTAGCATGTAGATGTAATTGCTACTCTTTTGAGGCCAAGCTACCATTTCCGAAAGACACAAATCTGTTACTTTATCTAAACTATCCAGTTAGATGCCCTTCAAAAGTTTAACGAAATACTCCGTATCAAAACCTCAGGGCATCTCACTTATCTTGCCTGTCCTGCTTATAACTTATATTCAGGAAGAGCAGAAAACTTTTTATGACCCAAAAAGAAATTGACAATAAATTTCACCTGGAGCGACATCATAGGACTGCTGAGAAGTAACCAATGCAAGTGGAGATGTCCTTTTGTCCTGAAGGAAAGAAAAATGGAATAAAGGACATTGGATCCACAGAATTGAATGAGTTCGAAGATATACTATAAGGTCAATGTAGTAGTTATGAATCTGATCCTCTCTATAATGCTAATAAAACTATGTCTAAAATTCATTTCGATTACACATTTGGTCAAGGTGCTCAAGATTGAACTCCTTAAATCATTTCTACCATTTAGGAAAGAGCACATCATTGCATACTATATGTTTCCCCTGAAAGACCAAACATCTGATCTAATTCATCAAATTGAAAACCTAACTGTATACATTGAGACAAGTCTCCCTCCTTTCTTGTTATTACCTGCTTCTTATAATTTTAGTAGGTGCATAAAATGAAGAGGTGCAGTCAGGTAACACTAAGAAGTCTAAAAGAATCAATTCATATACAGCAAAAGGATAAAAAGAAAAGGAACCCCTAGGAAGTGAAACCATGGCAATCTATTTAGAACCTGACTTGTCAAGGAAAATGGAAAACTTAAAGCGAAGCCACATAAAAGGCAAATAAAAGAAAGAAAAGAAGTAGCTGTACCATTTTCTTTTCTGATGATTGAGAATGTATTACTACCTTTCAGAGTACAACAACAACAACAAAAAAAAAAGTATAATCCCACAAGTGGAGTCTAGGGAGGGTAGTGTGTACGCAGATCTTACCCCCGCCTTGAAGGTAGAGAGGTTGTTTCCGATAGACCCTCGGCTCACAAAAGACGAGAGTTACCTTTCAGAGCCAAAACAAAAAATATAAGTTGACATTTTCTTTTCTAACCAGAAGGAAACATCTTGACAAAGATTAATATTTTCTTCGCTAAGAATAGCGTCGCCATGCTTAGATTCTGAACAGTACGAAAAACATGCACTAGCCCCGACTCCTCTCAGAAACCGCTATATGTAGAGAGCTTTCTCTCATGGAAAAGCTGGCCTGAAGATCTAGCCTACTTCCTATCTGTTTCTCTTTTCTCTCTTCTATTCAAGGGTAGCACAGATCCTCATCAACCAAGAATCGAGACAGTGAGAGCACTTAAGGCTAGGCTAGTCAAGGATCAAAATCATCTTCAACTCTCCCTCCTGCCTGGTACGAATCTTTCCACGCATATTTTGCGTCATTCCAGAAAACAAAAATTGCAGTTAAAAGGAGCATAACCAAGATGCTCATGTGAAATGTGAGATACAAGCATGCAGAAAGATCCATCTAACTGGCAACCACGCAAGTACATAAAACAAAAGTATAGACATGGTTGTTATTAAAGCTAGAAATTTTTTCCTAGTATTACATCTCACAGTTTCCCAGCACCCAGGATTTTGCCAATTCTGTCCATGCAACTCATTTAACAAAGCCATCTTCCTCCCCGTGTCAAGTCATGAAAGCACAGTTGTGCCAGTTCAATATGGCGCAATTATGCAACTTAATATGAACGTTATCTCATCAACAGAGTCGTAAATATGCAATCTATATCAAGCTGAAAGCAATTATTTTAGATAACAAATAAGAAGAGGGAAAGCATTTATGTTATTTGCAATAACAAATCACAGAAGCTATGCATGTCAAGTGGAACAACGTCCGTAAATTAGAGATATGAAGCCCTAAAATGTCGAGCTAAGTACTCATAATCCAAAACCTACTTCTTTAGGTCACGTCCTAATATGTACTCCCTCTATATTAGTTTATGTGTCTTACTTTCCTTTTTGGTCTGTTTCAAAAAGAATGTAATGTTTCTATATTTAGTATTTTTGGTATGTCATACACCTTTACTAAGGACACAAGATACAAAAGTTTACCGACCTTTCTTAAAGTTCGTGCCTAGTCAATCTAAGACACATAACTACATAAGTTGAAACGGAGAAAGTAATAAATATAGAAACATCAAATCACTCAGGCTAAAACTTGCATAATAAGTCAGCATGATAAATTTAAGCTACTTTTTTGAGACAGGACTGTTTTTTATCCAAACGATGACCTAAAACAAGCCTCTTAGCTGAAAGGGAATACATTGATCAAAGACTAAGTGTAACTAGAATCATAAAAGACAAATTGATACGACAAATAGAATCCCAACTCATAATTCATTTCTTTTCCTTGTTGTCCTTTTCTTTAGTGGTAAGTTTCTTCTGAGCATTTTTTTTTTGATAATAAGTTTCTTCTGAGCATTAACATCTCATACATATGTTGCATCATATAGTCTGTCAATACACATCCCCTACAGGAAACAAAAAGGAGTGTACACATGCACATCCTCCAAAGGAAAAATAAACTATACCAAACGAAAATAATGAGTATACTCGAAAGTGCTAGTAACAAAATCTTGTTTTCTCGGTATAAATGATTGCATGGACCAAAAGAAACATAAGAGAAAGAACTAGGTTACAGGACGTATATGCATCTTTCAATTAGGTTTGAAGACATAATTTCTTTTTTATCAGGAAATTTGAAGACATAATTTCTTTCAGCCATAACAAGTGAAATTCTCCACAAATAAGGTGGGAGAATGAACCCATTGTAACACTCATGATCCTTTGTTCCCTTTACAAAACCTGCTTTTCAATCTTGCAATCCATGAATGCATAGAATACACCGGGGAAGCAAATTAGCAGAGAAAAGGAGTGTATAAATGCTAAGGCTTGCAAATCCACAGAGGATTATCTACTCTTAAAATTTTGATGGAGTACAACTACGACGGACAGTTTCCTATTCATCCTTTTGTGGTCATTAATTTCTCCAAAGAATTTCTAGATAGAGATAAGGAGACGAACAAGACAAGTATACAATTAAGAATGCTATAGTAGTTAAAGGGAAATCCAGGGAATACGGCCCACATTCAAAGCAAACTGTACAAGAGCAGAAAACCTGCCTTCCCAAAATGGCTCCTACGGATTAATGGCAACTCAACCAGTCCATCCACATAAAAGAGTTATAAAAGCAAGAGTACACGGGATTGTCAGTCGGCCATCAATGCAAGAATAAATGCAGGGGAATCTAACTCCTGGTATATCCACTCATGCTCACTAATCAATCTTCATCTTGTTCAATAATCAGACCGACAAACAAGATCAAATGGATCTTTGAAAAATAGTTCTCCGGAGGCAAAAAAGGTGAAGCACAAATTACAGAAAACAAAAGGCAGTGACAAACTTTTTCCTGTTTCTTCACATTTGTAAAACTTTAGTGCTTAAGTATCAAAAACCAGAAGCCCTAGCACACAAGAGGAACAGAAACCTAGCATAAAAGGAAATTCTATGGCAAGAATGGAAGTAAAAGATAACCAGATAAATAACCATTAAATTGAAAGGTAGAAATACTGTGTCTCAAGCCTTACTACCAGAGAATATAATTCTCGGCCTTTTTATGTCGTGATGACAGTGGGTGTTCACGCCATCTGCACACCTCGACTATTCGACCAGGTACCTGGTATCCTCCCACCAGCACTAGGTATGGGATAACTCGGCTCACCAAGGCTTAGGCAGATTGGAAGAAATCAACTGGCAAGGGAAGAAATCACCTGGTGTTTTTTGCTTCCGCAGGGATTTGAATCCTAAGTCTCGACTTAAGGGTTAACCTTCAATGGCAACTTGACAAATAGATAAGAATGAGCACTCATGGTAAGTGGAAGTTGCCTCTCATACCCAAATATAACATGAGAATCTGACAACTAATATGGATTAACTGTTATGATACAAAAGCTAACGAATATGATCACAGTGCGTACAGCCTTTTCTGGATTGTGGTCTAGAGAAGGAATATTCTTGCAGACATAATTCATTTCAACTCCCATGAACAAGACAGTATAATGAAGAGTTATCCATAAAAACACCAAAGAGCAAATCTCCAACGAGCTAGATTCCTCTTACGTCATTGAAATATATAAACAGAAAGATGTCATTATTTAGGATGCAAAACTCACATGCAATAAGATTGACCTGTAAAACAGACAAATTAGGGAAATATAGAATGATAACCATTGAGAATACAGCAAAATTCATTGATATCAAAGTTAAAGGCACATATTGAAATAGTCACCAATGAAATACAATTGCCTTTAAGAAAGCTAAACTTTCCTAGAAAAGAGTATCTGCAAGTACCTATCTCCACTGCAAAGATAGAATGTACATGTTTCAACAAAGAACAACATCTAATGCCTTAAAAAAAGGCCATATCAGGAACCTACTTATTCACTGCTGTACTAATAACTCCCTACCTAAAAGAAACTTTGGCAGTTTTGACAGTAACCAGCGACACAGTCCATATCTTGAGCAAATCTTCTGATCCACCCTTCGCCACCCTTTGCCATGCAACTTTGAATTATGCACTTCACATCCTTAGACCTGAATAGTGTTCTCTTTTTCTTCTCTCTTAAGAGGCGAAACAGGTAATGTCCCTTCATCCTCGCCATACCCTTTATTCCCAACCAACATCCTAACCTCCTTCTCACAACTAACCTTTTGTAAACTCTCGAAACCCTTATCGTTCTTATTCAATACATCCCAAAAAAAGTCTGTCATCACACTCTCGTAATTCGGCATCTTGGCATAACCAGGGAAATAGTTAATGTCAATAATAAGGTACCTATTACCAACTCTATTATCCCTAATCAAATCAAAGTTAAAAAGATGCAATTTCATCGCTCGTCTAAGCCCTCTAGCTATATCTGTCAAAAAACTCAATGGGGGCAATTCAGCATCATCCAAATTCATCAACTTATAGTACTTATCATCATTTTTCTCGCAAGTATTCAAATTGGAAACCTGCGAAAATGACAAGTAACTCTCCAATTTCCCTAAATTCTCCTCGGTCACGTCAGGCAACGACTTCCTCTTCACACATTTCACGTAGTCCCCAACCACATACACCTTAAAAATAACAGCTCCGTGATTCACAAACTCCTGTAACACTATCGGCGGTTTCAATTTAGTTAACCCGTCTTTATTAAACACTAATAACATCTTATGTGATTTCGCACTACCATCAGCCACTAAGGGTTTCGCAATCACGGGAAATTTCAATCCCTCACTTTCCAAATAACTCGCCGACACGATTTTCGCGTCGTAAACTACAGTTTGTTTAGGAATCCCAAAAGATACCGTTTCGCACTTAAAATCCAGCTCGGTCGCTACCTGAAGCATTGAGATTCTGTTATGTAACCGCTCGATTGACTCGGGCGAGTCAATAATGAGCGCCTGAGGATTTTGTAAAGAAAACTCTTTCAATTGCAGTCTCCAATCCTCGCCGTATAGCTTGTGAAGCACGCAATCGAACGGCCCTTGTTCGGTTAACGGCTTATCCGTATCGATTCGTATTAGATCGATTCCTCGTTCGCTCGCCAGGTTCACGAGCGTTGCTTGTATGAAACTCGCTTGTTTCTTCGGTGCTAACGCGTAACCTACTCCGAATCTCCGCTCCGCCATTGATATACACAGAAAAACTCAAAACTTACAATGCTTCAATCAACGCTAAACACATTACAGAAAAATTCAAGAATTTGGATGTGATTTGATGAAAAAGCAAAGAAACTAGGGTTTTGAATTAGGAAATTTTTGAGATTTCGATATGATCGATAGATATGTGCATATATTTGGGTATGTGTCAGTGTTTTGTGGAGTGAGGAAATGGTGAGAGAGGGGAAGAGAGGACAAATGGAGGAGAGGTGGGAATATATATAGAGGTGAAAGCAAGGGGGTGATTAGGGTTTTGATAAAGTGACGGGGTAGGTTGACGTGGCATATTCTAAGGGATTATGTTAATGGCCGTTTTGTGGAAATATCTTAATTTTACCGTTAATAAATTAATTTGTATTTACTGACTGTACTTTCATATCGAACCATTAAAGTAGTACGTCATGTCATAATCGGATATTTTCATTATTTTATGAGGGGATAATTTCGAAAAAATAATAAGATATGAGTAAGAGTTCTGGCATATTACCCTATTACCGAGAAACCTACATAAATAAGAAAAGGAGAAAAATTTTATTTTGTGTCTCAGAGGCCTCTTTTTTTGTCTCACAACTGTGAGGCTCCCAGATGTATAAGATATGGGTCCACAAATATGTGAGATAAAAAGAGGTCTCACACAACTAATGTAAGTTGTGTGAGACATAAAATAAAATCACTCAGAATAGAAAGAGAAAAAACTATTGCTCGTGTGTCCTGAGAAAAAATTCTATTTAAAATAGATGGTGCAATTCACTTGACAAAATAATTCGGGAAAGATGTTCAGATTTTCCCTTCTACTTTTGACTATACAGGATTAAAATTCTCTCATATTATAACTTGATTAAGGTCCATATTTTGGAGCTATGTAAGGGTCGAACAAATATAAAATGTATGAATATTTAATATAAATAAAGAGATAAGATATTTGACGCTTTTGCAATTTAGAAAGTTTGCAAGTAATAATTTTGTTGCAAGTATTTGCTGCTGAATTTTATTATCTGAATTTTAAGTTAAAACTTGGTAAATTTTTATTTAAAATAAAATATAAATTTTCATTTACACACTTTATAACAGCGAAGTTAATGTGCAAGCGCAACTTCCACAATTTTTTTTCTCAATTTCAATTTTATATACATTTTTTTTTATCAACGTTAAGTCAAGTGTTGTCCAAATGATCTATGATTTTTTTGCTTGTATTAAAGACAATTAAGTGATCTTGGTGATTAAAGACATGGACGGTTGAGATGGAATGTCAAAAATAAACATGGCAAAAGTCGGCTTTATTATTTATTTTAACTAGGGTACTCTTATAACTCGAGCTTGTGCTTACTTCATCATCCTATAATATTGATAATGATATAGAGTCAAATCTCTTTACAATAACCTCTTTTGTTTCAATATTTTTTGTGGTTATAGTAAAGTGTTATTACATATAACATATATTGTAGTATAACATAAAAAAAATTAGTTTCAAATAAAACTTAGTTGTTACAGAAGACGGCTGTTATAGAAAGGCTTAACTGTAGTTAATACTTAATCTATGTAAATAGTGTAATTAGTATCTCAACAATCCATTGGATAATTACTCTAATTATGTATCCATTCAAATGTTAGATTCTTAAAGGAAAAATGCATCTAGAAAAATAATTGGGTAATTAATCAATGTGAAGATGGTGACATATATATTTGGACTAAAAGGAAAGTGTGAAGATTGGATTAGCAATTGAGTATAGTTGCATGGGTCAAAAGTGATGAGTATAAAAAGGGAATATGTTTTAGTGGAAAAGGGAATATGAATAAATATGTGGAAATTGGCAAAGATTAGGTTATGCAATTTGGTTCATTGATATTTGCTTTTTTTAGTGCTTCTTAAATGATAGAGACTTGTAAAACCTAACTTTAAAGGCATGTGGATTGATGGGTCATCATGATGTAATAAATTGGAAAATATCCCCACACCCATTTATATATTTAATTTTTTTCTTCCAATTGGTATTTTTATATAAACAGATGCAATACATTGAAATAGGTACACTTAAGTAGTGTTTGAGCATAATTAAGCCACAAATACCAAAGTTTTATTTCTATGAATGATTCAGAATTTAAATTTTGTGTGTATAATCTCTAAGATTCTCATAATTGAATCCATTAACACTTCCAAAATTTTGAGTTTATAAATTAAAATATATTTTCTAAATTTTCATATGTATATCTCTATTTCATATCGAAAATATTGGGTTCGACTATACTCATATAATCATATGGTGTTTCCGCCTCTGTGTACAAATATATATTTCATTACTTATCGGCATGATCAACTACTTTCAGTTACATATTTATATATTCACCTAAAAGATTTTGCACATAAGACTGTGACAGAGATTTTTACCAACATCTACTATATCTATATACTATATTAAAAGCACGAATGCCCTTAGCGAAATGTCGTTCGCATTTTATACCCTTTATAAATAGAGCTAAACTGGATAAAATAGACATTCAATTATTTTTCTAATATTTATAAATAGTCATTTAATTAATTCCCTTACATTTAAGAGTTTGTATACTAATTTTTTTCCTTATTTGAACTGTATTAAATATTCTGACATTTAAAACTTTAAAATATTTAATATTTTACCATATATAATTTAAGTTTTATATAAATTTTAAACTTAAATTATATATAAATAATAAATAAAATAAATAAAAGAGAGAATAAAAACATTAAAGAAAGAGGAAGTACGTTTGGCTTTGGATAATATGGAAGTTCCTTTAAATTTCTTTAAAACTTGTATACGTTCTGATTTCTATGAAACTCGTCTATATTAGAATACTTAAAAATACATAGAAGACTATTCCACTAATGATAGTATTCTATATTATATTAGTTTTCAAAGCTTTTAAATTAGTAATTACAATTATTCCACTAATTGGTACGAGCTACCTAATTAGTATTATTTAAATACTAATTATTTGCTCAAAAAATGTTACACATCTTACGAGTACAAAACAATATAAATTAATCCCGGGATAACAATAGCAAATCGTAATAATCCGTTGGACCAAATGAAAGAAACTAAAATAAGAACTCAGAATTAGGGGGAGAAGCATTAGAAACCTTTATTGATAATATTTGTTTGGTCTGCCTCTCCATGAAGAGGTTCAGAGCCTTACAATGGTGTTTTTCCCTTCCCATAAGAGGGGTATATTTTCTCGTTTCTCTCTCCTCTCACTAGTGGTCAAGAAGCCCCCCTTTTTTTCTAGGGCTACTGCTCTTAGTATTTATAGATGTGAGCTTTGTGAGCTGGCGATAAATGGTCGTGGCCATGCTGAAGTTCCGTCCCCATGGGGGAATGACTGGGCCGTACCCTCGTAGATTAAATCGGACAAGAGTCGAGTCCTGTTACGAATAAGTGGCCATACCACTTCATTAATTATGTCTTAGCTCAGGACGAGATTAACTCCGTTAATTATCGTGGGGTCGGATTTTGACCCATACAGTTAGTCCCTCCACTTATTGAGGTCGGGCCTTGGCCGAGCTCGATGAGCGGACTTCATCGATTGTGATTTGAAAACAACTCGAATAAGGGAGTCGATTTATTGGCGGCGGTGGCCTTAGCCGTTTACACGTTGGAGCTGGCCGTAGCCTTTCGTACATTGGAGAGCCTTTCATACATTAGAGATGGCCGTAGCCTTTCATATGTTGAGGTTGGCCGTAGACTTTCATTCATTGGAGATCAAGATGGCTGTAGCCTTTCATATATTGGAGATGGCCGTAGCCTTTCATTCATTGGAGATCAAGATGGCCGTGGGGAATGAATATGCGCTGGGTACGTATTTGGTCGTCCAAAATTTTAACGGCGTACGACACTTTCTTTCAGTGTTCGCAGATCGTAGCGACTGTTCTGACGGCGGTACGCTGGCGGATGGTCGAGAAGCCGCTTTATGGAGCTCGTCATAATGACGCTTGCTGCTACAGAACCGAACCGTTTTTCGGTTGGTCGTGCAGTTAATGATGGCTATTGGGCTTTGCAAAAGCCATTTATGTTGCCTATAAAGGTGGGTTGAGGCATTCATTTCTCATATCTTCATTGTTCATTTGAGAGAGATTCTGAGGAAACTTTGTCTTCTCGCTAATTCATCTTTTCTTTTCTTTCCTTCGATTGTGATAACATTTGTTTTCAGTAGATTACCAATGGCTGGCAGTTCTTCCCATGGTGTTCTTCCGTTAGATTTTTCGGCAGCTGACAGACCATCTCCGGCGATGGGAGGTGTGGAACAGACGGAGTCCGGCGAAATTCCGTTGGTTGACGAGGTGGTTCCTCGGCTCGGAGGTCCGGCGATTGATTTCACCGTCGACGGTGGAGAGGAACCGGTGGTTGAAGCCCCTTTGATGGGGGAAATTGGGATGGCCCGATTGCGGGAACAGGGCATCGTTCCTACCCATGCGGACATCGTTCTTGCTAGAAGCGAGGAGAGGGTCCACACCGACCGTAGGGGATACTGCATTTTTTACGCCTATCCTTTCAGGTTGGGGTTCAAGATCCCGCTCCCAATGCTGGTGGTGGATTTTTGCCGTTATTACGGGGTGTGCCCAGGTCAGCTCGCTCCTTCCCTCTACAAACTTTTGGCAATGTTTATCAAGTACGCGGAATTGGCCCGTAGGGAGGTTACGCTGCAGCATGTGCTGAGTCTCTACGCTCCTCAGAGAGTCCGTGGTACCATGATTCAGGCGTGCCCACGTGGGTCGAAGGGCCTGGTCATGAGATTGGATGACGAGGTCGAGCCCCGCCCTTTCGAGCACTTCTTTTATATCAGGACCAAGCACCTGGTGGCGGATGCTACTGGGTTCCCAGAGGCTTGGAACCATGCACGTAAGTTTTTTTTTATCGGTTGAATCCTCTTTTCTTTTCTCCTTTATGATTTGCGCTTATGAGCGTTAACTCTCGCCCTTTTTTTGTAGCCGACAGGTCGCCACCGCCCCCATTGTCTTGGATACGTGAATGGGGCCGATGCCGTGCTCCCCCATACGAGGGGGATACGTACGTGGGCGTCTTTCTGGGAGAGGCATGGCCGTAGGCCCGTAGCAGGTAAAAAACCGATCTTTCCTTCTGTTCTGCTTTGTTTCGGCTTTATTTACTAACCTTGTTTTTTATGATTAGGGAGGGCACGCCGCGTCAAGGCCCCTCTGTTGGCCTTCC